TGCTTAGAACATAAATTGCTTGTAATATAAAACAATGTTTGTGTTTAGAACAATGTAAGTTTTAAATTTAGCATGTCTAAATATTTATGTCTCAATTATTTATTTAAATGTTTGATTATTTACTAGATTGTTTTTCATAATGATGATACTTATATTATGAAATGATTGACTTCTATTTTCGAGACCAGATCTCTTAATAGAATTACAAAGTAAATATCAACATTTTATAAATAAAATTAAGTTCTATATGCAAGCACTTTTGACTAAAACTTGTTTTTAAATCAAACATATCAATGACATTGTTATCTTTATTGTATAAATGAAATTTACATATTCCAACTTCAAGAAATGAATCTTTGAAGGCAAATAATGTGGTTTATTTTACATATGAGAATCTTATTTATATATAAAAGATTCATAATAATATTTTCACTAAAGTGTAGAGAAAATAATTATTAAGGAACTATACACCTTGGTGTGTGACTTCCTTTCTAATGAATGTCTATGATTAAGCACAAGATACAACCCAATAATATCATCTAAAGCCTTAGTGATGATAAATGGTGAATTAAACTTTACTTGATATAATTTACTTACTAATCGGTAGAAATGTCCTATTTTTAACCTTTTTAGGATTGTACTTTAATAACTATTAATTGTATCTAGAATACAAACACCAACTAGTTATAAATTGTAGAATATTCTAAAAGGGCATTTAGATTATTACATACAAACTCATCAAGAATAAGTTCCTTTATTCCTCTGAAAGTTGAGTTAGCAGAAAACAAGCTTCTATTGACAAAGCAAGTGGGAGGCACATGGAAGTTGAAGTAGTTCAAGAACCATGGCCCAATGTAACAATTGTTAGCACTAGTTTTAAAAAGAAATTATTAAACATGAATAATTGATATTCACCAATACAAATTGTTCACAATAATGGTAGAAATCATCAATGACTTGAGAAATGTGGAATCTCTTATTGATGAGTTCTTGATGGTTTCTAGTTAAACCATAAACTACCAAAATGTTATATCATATCTTGAATTTGACAAATGACTTAGAGTCATGAACATTGAGATGTAATCCATGTTCAATAATCAAGTATGGGCTTGATTAATCTTTCTCTTTATAACAATGCTAAAAGGAGTAATAAATTCTTCTAGGAAGAATACATACATACATACATACATACATATATATATATATATATATATATATATACACACACACACACACAAACACATTTTGTAATACTTGTTATATAAGGATTTTTTCATACTCAGGTCAAGGACCATGGTCCTTATCATACTCATGACATTGACTATGATCAGACCTTTTCACAAGTAACTATGATTAGATCAACAATGATATTATTTATCATAACTACATATTCCTAATATAAGATATGACCTATCGATTTCAATAAAAAATCGCTTTTTTTAAGAGACATCTACAAGTAGATATTTATATAGCTTAGCCTGCACGTTTTTTTAATCCATGTTATCCTAACAAAATGTGTAATTCTTGAGATCCACTTGTAGATATAAAGCAAACATCTCACGGTTGGAATAGTCATTTTAATATAAAGATACAAGGTGTGCTTTTTATATCAAAATGAAAAGAACATGTGTGTTTACTAAGAACTAGTGGGAGGATAGTGATATTCATAATCTTGTATGAATGAGACATATTTAATCATTTTAAATAACATTCCGACTATGCAATGTCATTTTCACCGTGACCCAAAAAGTATTTCTAAAATGAAAGACTTACGAATGACAAAGTACATTCTTGGAATGTAAAATCCATAAGAGATAAATAAATATGAATGTTAAAAGTTATAAACTCTTTTTGCATGAATTAACAATATCATGAATAAGGTCAAGATACAAGGTTCCTTTGGATGATTCTTTGCATTGTTACATGACATCTTTTTGAGCCTATCTCAAAGGACTCGACATATAGGTTTGAGCTAGATGAAATGATTTCTATTTTGTTTGTTTGGAAAATAAATCCATCATTTATGTCATATCATGAGATACAAAATTGAATACATGGTTAAGTCACTAGATAACTATGAGAACATTCTAAGAGTACTTAAGAAGAGATAAGAGAATGTATATGAGATAATTAGTTTAGAATAAAACTTAATGTAAAGAGCTACATATGATTTTGATTTCTAAATAAACATAGATAATTATGAATTATAATTGGATTGTGACTTTATTCTGGATGAAGAGTAAGTTTATTAGGATTGAGGACCAAGCAAAACATAAATGACACAATTTACTACAAAATAAGAATACACAAATTTTAAAGTTGAAGTCAAATATGATTGGATGAAAGAGTTCATTGAAAAACTATGTTAATTTCTTCCATTCAAGGATCACATGGAAATATTTATAACTTCGAGAGTTCACTTAATCAGGGTAAGAGACTCTATGTTACAAAAGAACACCAATCATATTTTCCAAAATATTTAACTATACCTAGAGTAAAATTCAAATATAGAGATATAGTATTCACGAAATTCACACAAATTAAATTTAGTCTAACCCATTGATAAGGTCTTTCCTTTTAAGCTAAGTATGAATGGTTACACTTCAACCATATGACTTTTATTATTCTAGAAATGAGATTTTGGTTTGGATTTAATATTTGGATATTGGAACATTGTAATAACAACTATTACATAATGTTTTCATATACTGAGATATGATCATCACATTAATTTTTGTTGCGTTCTATATTAACATGTTTAGACCATGAATAATTTTATTATTTTAAAAGGTTCATAGCCGGTTGTAATTGTGGGAGCAATTATAAAGTAATACTAATATGAATTGAATTGGTTGACTCTCACTAGATGAATGTAGACAAGTGGTTGCAACCAAGTTTCATATGTACTTGTTAGAGAACTAGTACTGAACGAACCTGAATCAAGATCAACTCATAGATCACAGTCATGAGTGACACTTGATTAAAAGGTACTATCTTTGTATCATTAACACCTGAGATACATAGTTGGACTTAATTATAGGGAGTATTGTGCTTTGATATGGTCAAATGCTAATCCTTAACCGTGCCGTTATAAAAGCCATTTTCAGGTATGGTGTGCGGTATGCAAGAGGCTTATGTAGTCAATATGAGATTTGTTCCTCTTATATGTTGAGAGTTAGACATATAACGTGCGTTATCCAAAGTTGAATTACAAATGATATTGATTGCGATCCAAGGCTCATGTTCAACAGGATATCTGTAACAAAGGGATAATTGATAAACTTACCTTGATACATCAATTGAAGCTTGGAGCTTTTGGGAATTGGATGTTAATGAATGACATTATTTGTCATGTGTTACTGGGGGTAGTGAAATGTTGCTAAACGTTCACTACTGTCTATATCAATCTATGATGAGTCTTGTGCAAGTGGGAGATTGAAAGATCTTGTATGCTCAAGAGTCATTATATAATGATATTGCTAATAATATATGATCTTATAGGGTCACACTAATAACAACTTGATGAAAATATATTATTTATAAGAATTTGATTCTTGTTGTGTGTGTGTGAGTGTATATATATAATATATATATATATATATATATTGTAATTAATTGGAAATTATTCATGTCATGGAAATATTATTTTTCAATGTGAAGTATCAAAATATATCATAAGGTATGGTTTATTATGTTGTGTACATATTTTTGGACCAAAAGGGGTTTTGTCTTATATAGATTTATATGTTTTATAACTTACAAAAATTAGAAGAGTTTTTATAGAAAAACTAGCTTCTTCTTTTTATAAACTATTCAAGGAGACAATAAAGGGAAAAGAAGACATACTTGCATTTATTTAATTGTAATCCATGTTCTTACACTTGTAGCCTTTTGTTGTTAGATGCATGGTGTATTAAAGCATCAAGACTGAATGGGTAAGGACTTGGATTAAGATAATTAAAAGGCTTACATGTATTTATACTTTTACTAGCTAAAAGCTACAAAAATTTATGCTTCCTATCTCCATATTCTTTATAGTTTTTTGTCTCTTAAAGTGTTAAGAACATAAAGATGAAGATGATACTTGAATACTCTCTTTGAAGACAAACTAGTTTCTTTGTTTTAAGAGCTTAAGAGATTTTTTATTACAAGAAGAAGACTAACATCTTGTCAAGTTGATTTATTATTGGTGGATATCTCTAGAGAACTTCTACATTGAAATTTCATGCCATACTTCATCAACTTCCAATCTTTCATAAGAATCAAAGTTTTCAAAGGTTGTAACACTTTTCTTTTTATGGTTGTTTTTTTAATCTTTCTAACACTTGCAAAATGATCCTTGGTGGGTAAAATAGTTTTAGTTTTATTTAACATTTTTTTAAAGTTTCCGTTGTCGTATTTACCCTTTATGAAACCGAATTTTTTAATAAAACCCAATAGCATGGACTTAAACATTCTCCAAACTTCAGATTCATAAGATATGAGCACCAAGGGACCCCTTAGGCATATAAAGTTGCTAACTCTATGGAGTCCTAACACTCTAACTCTTAAACCATGGCAAATCATGCATAAAACCTTAGATCTAGAAACAATGCAACATAAAGTTTTTGATCTTTATTACTCACATTGGTCCAGAAGTGTAACTAAAGGTTACAAATGAAACTTCCAAGCTGAAACTATGCTTCAATGGTGATCTCTTCCTCTGCAAACCACTAAAACTCTACCAAAAGATCAATAATCACAAAGAGAGGCTATGGTTAGGGTTTTACTGAGTTTAGGGACGAAGGAAGCTGTTTTGGAACCCCAAAATGAAGTTTATACGGTGTAAATATGAACGAAACCCTAAAAGAACATGGGCTTGCCCTGCATCACACCTCACATCGTGAACTCTTATTGCTCACGTCCTAAGCTCAACATAATTCAATTTCTTTATTTAATTACTTCTCACGTCGTGACCCTCTTATGGTTCACGTTGTGAGCATTGACGTTACCCAAAAACCATGTCTTTGACTCCTCAAAGCCCTAAATCGGTCCAATCTGGAAATCTGGTGTTACATTGTGAAAACGGGATGTTACATTGTGCGACTCCTGCCACAGAATCAACTAAAAGAATGGATAACAATGTTTTACAAAATATAACTTTTCTGCATGTACATCTTGAATATCTCACTTTTCCTGTAATAATACTAGACAACCCAAATCTCGGTCGTGATAATAACTTCAAGCATTCTTCTTTTGACGGTGTGGAAGGAGTGACATCCACCCATTCAAATATCTATGTAACATTTACAAACAAAGGAAAAGAGAGATCAAGCTATTTAAGCATTTTGTTCCAAATTTCTTTACCACATCACAACTAACAAACACGTGCCTACAGACTTAATCTTTATTCTGAGTAGGACATAAAACACATGACACGTAAATCAAGTCACACTTGATTTGTTAACAAACCATTTATTTATTTATTTAACCTTTTAACCACTAAATAATAATAAATATATTATTTTATTATTTATTTGAATTGGTAAAATAATTAAATTTTACACATATTTATTTGTTTCATTGTAACACCGTTAAATATGTTACCTTATATGTTCACATACCATAACATTACAATTAATTATTTGCTTTTTGCACATCATTTGTAACAAAACAATAAACACAAAAAACAAAACTTTGTCACATTCACCGTACTACTCTTAGTTGCTTCAATAGTTTTCTTTAATAGTTTTTAGCACATTGGATAATTAGGATGATGCTTAATCATATTAGGCAACTAATAGCATTTGAAAAACATTCTTTTTTTACTAACTTTTTGGTAATTTTTAATAACCACTTAAAATATCTACATTCTTTGTCTTTATTTAGAAAATACAAGTAACGAATATAATTTTTACATAGGGTTTTTTCGTTCTAAAAAACTAAAAGTTAACATGAATACCACAATCACATCTACTAAAAAAATGAATTATTTGTGCATAAATGTTTGATTTTTTTTCCAAAGTACATCAAAATCAAATTATAAAATAAGTGTTCAAAATTTTATTATTCCATTATGGTTTTTATGTGAAAAATGTTGTCCAAAATTGGAACTTTTAATGAAAAACCAAATTCCAAAATGTTATTTTTGTTAAGAAAATGAAGTTTGATGATACAAGATTAGTCCAAAATGTATACTCATTCTGTCCAAAAAATTGTCCGCGTTTGATTTTCACAGTCTTTCAATATCAATTTTGATCATAAATAACTTTATTTATGTTATATAATTTTTGATGAAACTTATAACAATGAAAATCCATATAAAAATAATTTATTCATATACTTTACATAAAACATTATATAATATAAAATAAATTATTTAAAATCAAAGTTAGAAAAAACTTAAAAAATAAAATATAAACAATGAGACGGAAGGAGCCTAATTCAAGATCAAATAATTATTTTTACAAATACCTAGAAAGTTGATCTTAAAAAAATCAAAAAAAATATAACTTACCATTTCTATGATCATATTTTATGAGTATCCGTAAAAATGAATTTAAAACACTTCTAGACACATTCAAAGAGATGTTGATGGGCCAAAGATGGAGGAGGACTACATAAGTTACAAAATATAAATAAACATATTTATTAAATTAAATATTTGTATTATTTTCTATTATTCTATGTATTAAATTCCAATAGGACCACAACTGAAAAATGAGTAAAAATACATTAAAATAATACGATTCCGTATTTTACAGAGAGCGGGTGAGAATACCGATGAGATTGCTGGCCACAGGCACCGCCAACGTGATCCCCATTTCTTAAATGCTTTCTTTTGCAGGCGGGCCTCCCAGTTCTTGTCTCCCACCACCACCATCTCTCTCTCTCTCTCTCTCTCCTCAAACCCTAATTCTTCATTCAATTTTTAAATCAGTTTCTTGCTTTTCCGTTTCAACCTTTCTCCCCTATATATCACACCCACCTCAACCCTTCTCTCCTTTCTTCTTCGTCTTCCTCTGCTTCTCTTTCGTCCTTTTTTGCTTTTTTCTAATTACCCAGGCCACAGGAGCCTCTGTTTCAACGTTCCAGTTCTAAAAGGTGAGAGGGATTTACTTAGATTGCTTTCGGTTTCTTCGTTTTCTGTTCGAAAGTGTTTCGGATTTGGGGTTTTGTTGGGTTGATCTATGGGGCTGTTGTGGATTTCAAGTTTTTTTGACTGGTTTTTTTCGGAACTGAAGGCTACTACTGATCTTAGTGCGATTTTTTTGGAGTCGACAACTTGGTTTTTACGATTGATTATATCAGAAAATTTGTTTTTTTGTTGACGTATGATGAATTTAATTAGCGAAAAAGTCAAATTTTGACATCTTCGGTTTAAGATTGTTCATCCTTTTTGGAAGTTTTGTTTGCTCTTAATTTGTTTCTGTAATTTCGTTTTCAACTCTAAGATTAGTTATTTGTTCCTTACGAATTATCAAGAACAAATAATTGATTTTTATGTCAGATCTGCGTCTGTTTTTTAAACTTGTCTGTTTTGGTTCGTAACTGAACGATATCTAATTTCTAGATGACGTTTAACTGCTTCCAGATTTAAATTTGCAAAAATCTGATCGACAAACGTTGTGATTTCGATATCAGATCTGGTTAAATTATCATATTTAGATCCCAGTTTGTTCAAAAAAATTTCATTCTCACAGATCTAAAGTTTCTCTCTCTGATTTCTCGTATACATGCTTTGATTCTAACGATCTATCTTTAAAACACAGGATTTATTCCATCAGAAGAAAGAAAAATGAATCACTGTGGAATCCATCAAAACACCACCTTTGCATCTTCCCGCGAAGAAATGAGAAGCTCCGTTTCACTTTCCGTAACCTTCGGCAACGGCGAGCCGATGGTTTGTCCAAAGCCAAGACGCCTCGGTCTCTTCTCCACCACCAACGACTCCGTCAGGCCTCTGAGATGGCAGATGTGGTAAGCCTTCCTTCCAAAACTCTACAATTTTCAATAAATCTCGGATCTTTGAACTCAGTAACTCACCCCGATTTTCTGTTCTATTTTCAGTTATCAATCGGAAGGCTACGAATCGAAAGCCGGACCTGAACTGTTGGACATCATCTTCGCAAAAGGTGGTGGTTACGGCGGATCATCGGAGCAAACATGTACACAGATAGCCTCGTCGCCCCCTTTTTTCAGTGGGTCACCGCCGAGTAGAGTTTCTAACCCACTAATTCAAGACGCCCTGTTCGGAGACGACAAGGTCTCTCCGGTGTCACCACGTTCAATGATCCCCAATCCTTCATCTTCCGGTATGTCATCATCTTCTCCTTCATCTTCTTCCGCAAGAAAAGGTGGATGTCTTCGCGCCAATTTTGGTAACAAACCGGCGGTCAGGATTGAGGGGTTTGATTGCCTCGACAGGGACAACCGCCGCAATTGCAGCATCCCTGCCCTCGCCTGAAAAAATCAAACCCTAAAAAGTTCCGAAATCGAAATCCATACAAAGTACATAAAAAAATCAGATAAATTCAGCAACCAGTTTAAATTCTAGCAATTTTGAAGACATGAGAGAGATACATGAAGCAGATTTGGTTACTTTTAGTGTAAATAGGAAGAAGGTCTGTAATCTGTATGTAATTAATTAGAAGTTAATCGTTAAAAATAATGGGGGAAATTGGAGAATGGAGAGTGAGGGAGTTTGTGATGATGGTGTTTTTGTTTGGTTAAATTTACGGTTTTACCCTTTTGGTGATGATTTGTAAGTATAGAAGAAGATCAAGAGAAGGGTAATTACCAAAAGTTGAAGAATTCTTTTTGGTGTTTTTTATTATGTAAGAATTAAGAGGAGTGAGAGAGAGAGAGAGGATATTGCGACTTTATGAAGAGAAGAAATTTGTATAAAATTGTAAGGTCGCATATCGAGGTCGATCTTTTTATTTGTAGCATTTTGAGATTGTAAATATGAATATGTGATCTTTTTTATGAAGGGTTATATTTCTCGTTTTGTTTACTTGTTTATTATTATTTTTTGGTAGAGAAATTAAATATCCTTATATAAATGTTTTGGAGTGGTTGTATTGTTTTTTAAAAAGGTGACCGAATTTGGCACGCTAGCCAAAATATGGTGGTTGGATTTTAACTTTTAAATATGATGAGATTTAGGTATTATTATGTGTATCGTGGATACTTGATATTGGATGCCTTTTATATGGTTTCAAAGGGCAGAAAGCCGTTTCAGAAAATATTTTTTAAAGAGTTGGATTTTTATTCTTAGATTTTTTTTTCTGATTTTGTTTGATAAAATATGTATTTTATAAAAAAAGTAAAACATAATAAGCATCTTAAATAATTGTAAAAAGATATTAATTCTTTATCAAAGATTAAAATTAATTAATTTTGTAAATGTAAAATTAAATTACTGTTTAAATATAATTAAAAATATAAAATAAAATATTATTGAAAATTTGGAACTTAAAAACAAAGAAGCAAATGTTTATATTTTTCTCAAAATAAACAAAAGGAAATTGAAAAAAGCTTGTTCATCGCTACAAGTATTTTTTGAGGTAAAGACAATATTATCAATATCTTTCAAAAAGACCTCCCGCTAAAAGTTTCCTATAATGTTGTCCAACAATTGATTGTAAAATGTGAAATAGTTTATAAGAAACCCAAGGTTACAATGATTAGTAATTGATTATAAAAATAGTGAAAACTTGGTTCAAAATCAACATTTTTTTTTGCTTTTGGGATAAAAAGAGTAATATGAAGAATTACAAAAAGGAATTTGTATATTAGATAATATAATAGAATATATCAATAGACGTATGGTTTAAGATGAAAATAGTAAATATGGTATTTTGTTGAATCATATATAGAATTGAATTATGATGGTAGGCGTGTTGAAGTCAAAGCAGTGGGTTTCTTTACAGCTAAGATGTTGGGTCATTTTATACCCCATCAATCCATCATGGCCATACATTAAAAAGCAAAATAGATTTGGGATTGATTGCGTGAAAAGCGGCACCGATTCTCAACTGTTGAAAAAAAAGCAAATGCTTCCTTCAAGTTCATCAATTTGGTAAAAGTAAACGATTAACTTCTATCTTGAATATAGTGCCTTCATGAACATGATATTATTTTCTTCTTCTTTCATATAAATACTACTATTAAAAACTTTGGCTCTTTGTTCTCTTTGATATTCATTATGTTCGATGGTTTGTTTAGAATTGTGTGGTCAAAGTTCTTAAACATCTCTTGTTGGTTACTTATTTTTGATTTGATGAGGTGTCACATGATATATTTCGTTGAATTTCCACAAAAGGATAATAAATGCAATATATACATAGCAATATAGGCCATGGGGCAAGAAACAACACCCTTCCTTGCAATGTTATTGGTATCAAATCATGGAAGAGAGATATAGTGACCCTTTGTGAAGATGTTAGCGGGAGACATGTAGAACACAAATGTAGAACTAGACTTTGATATCATGTTAAGACGTTAAAACGATATATTCCATTGAATATCCATAAATGGATGATGAACACAATATATACAAATCAATACATGCCATGGGCCGAGAGATACTTTGGGCTATACATTATTAGACTAGAGTAACATTCACAAGTAGTACAATTAAGATGTTTTTATCTTTTAGTTTCAAACTAGTTATTATATTTTAACATGGAAAAATCTCTTGAAAATTTTGGGACATTACCATACAGATATATTGATTCCATGAAAAATCAACGACCACTACCATCTACTTTAACTCCGACAACCACAAATATCTGGTGAACATACCAAAAATTAAATCACCCTAACAAAAACCCTTTGTTGAATTTTCATAAAAAACTGCAAAGCTAAATATCTAACCATTCAAAACCACAATCCCCTGAAATCTATCTAGAAATCAAAGCCTAAAATCCGGATGTCAACCTATCTTGTCGATCTACTAATTCTATGTGTTTTAAGAATTTTGTCGATCTGTTGGTTGCACTATGGGTTTTAGTAGCAATGTGTAGGCAACGGAGGGAGTGTGG